GAGATTTCCAAGGTACTTACCGTAAATGTGTCGTTAGTAGGGGATTCAATGACACTACTCGTGACAGTCATATGAGAGACGTCCAATACATGTTGCGCGATTGCATGAACGACTGGCCATAGGAGAATGAATATCATTGCAATGCCTATGATAGCAGTTATAATTTGGCATATGATGAACCCCCTCCGTTTGTAGAACGGCGGTTTGGGAGGTTGAGGGGCAGGCGTGACCTTCTCCGAATGGTCGATGAAAGTACTCCCATCGTCACGCCCAAATCGTGCGGCGTGATCTAAGGACGTGTGTTAGAGGATATAGGTCTTGTTGAAATATCATCTTACCTGGTAGGTTCGTTTGACTTCCAAACGGTTCGACCCCGCTGGAATGACGTGCAGTAGGCCAGTGGGACATCTTGAACTGTCTCTCTCTTTTTCTCGGCGACGGTGGTTGGAGAAGGGAGAGTGCTCGCTTTATGCACAGGGACTTGCAGATGCGAGAACTCTACGAGGGAGTCGGCTAAGAGGTTCGGGGAAGGCGCGCGAGAGAGGGATGTTTTTGGAGGTGGGGCAGAAGCGGGGATAAATCGAGTCAATTGGCTCGCCTTTAGATATCTTGTGCAGGAGAAGATGAAACGAGCTTGTGAATGAACGGTCCGAATGAGTAGCCGAAAAGTCGCGCCCTGAGACCAAAAGAATTGAAGAGGCCAATAACGAAAGGAATGTGAGTGGCCAGGCGCGCAGAGAACTTCGAAACCCAAATGCGAATTTGGTAGGGGCCAAGATCGCACAGAAAGGCGACTGTTTACGTGCTTGGCTTTTGTTTCAGGCCTTTTGTGTGTTTGCTGCGTTACCATCATGGAGGGAGATGAACGGGGTATACGGCTCTCCCAATGGCCGTTGGGAGCCGGAGGGAGTGCACACATGGTGCACCGAGTCGGCGACTGTGATGTTGCGGGGACTACGACAGAAACAGTTCAGTTTCTCTTCTAAATCGGGCGAAGCGTAGCTCGCCTTCGATGCTCAGTTTTCCTCCCCGACAGCACTTCTGAAACTCGCTAGCGACGGCCTTTCTCCATATGGCTCGACCCCTTTCGAACGCCTTAAAATTGATGGAATCATTGTCAAAAGTACTACTCCGATCTGTCTCAGCCCATGTTCGCTGTCTTCAGGCCCCTGGATTGGAGCTCCAGATGCCCCTTGAGGGGGCGCTGGCCTCTTGACATGTCGAGTGACTCCAATCTTCGTTTCTCATGCCCAATCTCGCTGATTTGATGAGTCTGCGTTGAATCGTCGTCTTCCTGGTATCTGCCATCAAAGTGGTTTCGCGACAGAATGGTGGTCGGAAGCCGACCGCTCAGGTACTTTTGACCTACGAACCAATCGCCCTCTATGGGCAACTCCCATGGGCTCCATCGTCTCTGAAAACAATTTTCTCACTCAATTATCCTCTGGCGTCATTTACAATGGGTCTCATTAAACTAGCGCTATTTTTATATCACGAATCAAGGGCAGCTGACCCACTAGATCGCCCTAGCAAGGCGTACTCCACTTTTAAATACGAGAGAGATCAAAGGGTGGT